CCTGAGTAGCTGGGATTACAAGCACATGCCCCCGTGCCCAGCTAAGTTTTTGTATTTTTAGTAGAGATGGGGTTTCACTATGTTGACCAGGATGGTCTCGATCTGTTGACCTTGAGATCCACCCGCCTTGGCCTCCCAAAGTGCTGGGATTACAGGCTTGAGCCACCGTGCCTGGCCAGGACTGCTTTCAATGGCTAGAATAGCTTCAGCTTTAGTGATTATCTGGTTTGGGACTTAAGGAAAGGCCATATGGCCCTTAAAATCAACAATACAGCTACACACATCCATTTACTAATTAACTTGCTAATTAATTCACCTACTCCACTCTAGAAATACCTACTGGGTCCCAAACACAGCTTGAGGGTTGTAGACATAAGGAAGAATTGAGCACAGCCCCTGGCCTAAGCATTTAGGGAGGCGCCTGAACAGACAACCCCACCCAGTATGATAAGCACTTCTGTAGTTAGTAAGGAAGATGCATTCCCTTTAAATGTTTATACTCAGAAACTACGTCATGGCAAGCAGGAATAATTCTGGAGGCAGCTTCACGTTGTCCGCCTCCACCCTTGGATTCTATCTTTCCTGTGGCCTTACATCTGTGGATTGTCTGCCTACACAGGGACTGTCCCAGTCCCTGTCTGGTGACTCACAGGATACTGACAGTAATGGCTTGCTGTAATTCTTCTCCATTCCATAATAATCAGGAAATGTGGTGTGATCCTTCCCTTAGCTCAGGAGTCCTTAACTTGAGGCCCATAGAAGAGAGGTTACTTCCAGGCATGGAGGAGAAGAGGTGGCCCATGTGCAAACTGTTCTGTGTATGTGCTTAATACATTTGTCTCAGGAGAGAAAGTCCACAAGTTTTGTTCGTTTGTTTCTTTTGAGACAGTCTCACTCTGTCACCCAGGCTGTAGTGCAGTTGTACAATCTTGGCTCACTGCAACCTCTGCCTCCCAGGTTCAAGCAATTCTGCCTCAGCCTCCCAAGTAGCTGGGATTACAGGCACATGCCACCACACCCAGCTAATTTTTGCATTTTTAAGATACGGGGTTTCATCATGTTGGCCAGGCTGGTCTTGAACTCCTGACTACCTGATCCACCCACTTCAGCCTCCGAAAGTGCTAGGATTACAGGCATGAGCCACCATGCCGGGCAGAAAGTCCACAAGTTTTTATTAAAGGATGATGAAACCTAAAATGAGAAGCAGTGTCTTGCTACTGTCCTCTTGCTGCCTGAGACCCTTTACTGGCAGCTCCTTCCTTCTTTTTCTCCTCTATCTCCTTTGCTCTTCAGCTGACATCTCCCAACTCCCTCTGTGCTTAGCTTGATTAGTTAAAAGGAGCTGTCTGTAGTATCACAGTCACTCCTGTCCCCACCTCAACACCATGACAGGTAAGCACAACTGGACCACAGGAACAATGGGGAAAAGAAGTCTCTAGAACTCAAAGCCAAGTCTTTAGGAATCTGCTGGCTAGTATTCTGTCTTTAAGAGCTACAGCTGAGAAGATGAAGTTTAAAAATCACTTTTTGGACTTCCAGGATGGTTTAGGGCAGTAATCCCTGCATGAAAACTCTCTTTCCTTTGTCCTGTAAGATGTCTAGAGGGTCAAGCTGGGGGTTAGGGGAGAGAGGGGACTCTACGGGTGGGTGAAAGTCATCAATGATATCAGAGAGGCAGGCAACTGTCAGGTATCTTTATACTTAAAGAACGTTTAGACTTCAGAAACCATAGAAAGTACAGATGCTAATTCTGATGTACCATTCTTAGTTCAAATCCAGGCTCATGCAGTAAAGAGAAGGAGGTATGTTTTAGATATTTTCTAAGGCAGAGTTTCAAATCATTTCTATATGGCTGTAAGTTCATAATGAAGTTATCTGCAACATATATTTGCCTTTCTACTTCTGCTCTGTGATAATTTGGGATTATAAAATAAATGTGTAAAGTGCCCTTTGAATATGCCGTGTAACTGTTGTTGCTGTTGTTGTTTTCCTAGCCATCCTGCTTTTGTCTTGCCAACTGAAAGAGTTGTCTTCCTTGGATGGAGAGCCCCTGGTAAAGGGAGGGAGAGCAGCGCAGCCCAGAAACATCCTGGGAAAGTAGAATGGGAATAAATATTTGCAGTGGAAAATTCAAAGTTGGTTTTTGTGGATCACCAAGAGTAGACTCTGCAGCCACTAGTCATTACAGAAGCGTTTTTGGAACAGCAGCTTTTTTTCAGCGGGAACACACAGGTCGCAGGCCTGACCCCAAGGGAGAAATAAACACAGCGCTGAGATCTGCTTCTGGGGCAGATGAGACTGAGGTTAATATTGTACAATGACTAATTTGCAATGCAGAAAATCTACCAAGGGGGGTGGATTTATAGTCTCACTTTTTTTTTTTTTTTTTTTTTTTTTTGAGAGGGAGTCTCGCTCTGTGGCACCAGGCTGGAGTGCAGCAGTGTGATCTCAGCTCACTGCAAACTCTACCTCCTGGGTTCAAGCAATTCTCCTGCCTCAGCCTCCCGACTAGCTGGTACTACAGGCATGTGCCACCATGCCCGGCTATTATTATTATTATTATTTTTAGTAGAAACGGGGTTTTACCATGTTGGCCAGGATGGTCTCCATCTCCTAATTTTATCATCTGCCCACCTCCACCTCCAGTGTGAGCCACCATGCCTAGCCCCCAGGCTCACATTTTATTACGTATAAATTCACAGACCGTTTCATATTCATTTATCAAGCAAGTGTTTATTAATAAACACTTCACCTCCGTAGGTCCTATGCTATGAGGTGCCTGAGTTACATTTACATCACAAAAGAGAACAGATAGCTTCCAGCCCTCAAGGCCCTTACAAATGAGTGAGAGAGATGGACAATAGGCTCAAAGGCATTTAGTGCTGTAATGGAGGCAGCACTTCCAGGATGCTGTAGGAGGCACAGAGGAGGAACAGCTAATTCTGATTTAGGAGATTATGGAAGCCTTCTTGGAGGAAGTGATGTTGAGACTGAGAGCGGAGGGCTGAGTGGAAGTTGGGTAGGTCATAGGAGTGAGGGGTGGGGCAGCAGGGAGGAGAATTTCAGCCTGAGAACAGGATGCACCTTCTCTGGAACATATGGATATATTTGACAACTAAGGTAAACATCTAATTATTATTTTTGTTTTTAGAATGACCTGTTCAGTGTTTATAATCTCCTGGCACATCTATGCCAAACAGAGCTAAGAGGTTCCCTGGACCAGGGTCTTCAAAAATATCTGCTAGTTCTTCAATTCTGGAAGGTTTGCAAAATTCTGAGGTGACTTTTATTCTTAAGTGTTATTTAATATTTTTAAAGTAAAAATTTTTATATTAGAACAGTTTTAGATTGCTATTTAATTTTTAAGTTTAAATTTCAAACTAATTTCAAACTTACAGAAAAGTTTCAAGAATCATACAAAAGAAAATCCCCTCAAAAGTCCCATATATTTTTAACCACTTTATCTGTTGTTAGTATTTTGCATCATTTGTTTTAATTATTTATAATCTGTCTTCCAGTATATATTCACACCCTCCGTCCTCCTCCTTATCTCCTAATTATTATTTTTATTATTCTTGCCAAACCATTCAACATATCATTTTACTCCTAAATACCTTAGCAGGTCTCTGATAGAAACAAGGACATTATCTTGCAGAATCCCAGTAAAATGATCAAGTTTGGAAAAACTAACATTGATACTATCCTACTATCTAACATCGAGTCTATATTTGAATTTCACCAGTTATCCCAATAATGCTCTTTACAGTTTCCTGGTTAGAGATCCAGTCCAGAATCACACATTGCCTTTAATTGTGATGTGCCTCAGCCTCTTGGTCTTTCACACCATTGATATTTTTGAAAAGTGCAGGTCAACTGTTTTGTAGGATGCCCCTTAATGTGAGTTTGTTTGATGTTTCTTCATAAGTAGATTCCATTTATGTAGTTTTAGAAGGTAAGTGATACGTGTCTTTTTCAAAAGATCACATCAGGAAGCTCATGGTGTCTGTGTGTCTCATGATTGAGGATATAAACTTTTATTTGTTTTATATTTAGTATATTTTAAGCTGTAACAAACACATGCATATCCAAATGTGTTTCTACTCAAGTTTTATCACAAAGAACATTCATAATGAGCTAATCTGCTCTAGGTTATCTTGATTGAATGCAGACCTCAGTATTCAGTCTCTCCTGCCAGCTCTGCATATACCTGAACTTTGCTCAAGTGTGTCAGTGATTAATAAGGTTGTAACTGCACATTGGCCTGAGAAATGCTGAATGTAGACTTGTACAAGTAACAAATGACTGCTTAGTTATACGAATCAGAATTTTCTTGACACTGTACAATGAAAAAAACATACAAAAGTAAATTGGAAACCTGAGGCTAATTTAATAGTGAGTCCCAGTGAACAGATTCAGGTTCATCAAAAGAGCATCAATGCCTAATTTTATACTAATTTTGACTTATACAAGAAATTAATAAAATACCCTTTGCATATGTTATATGTGTGTTTTATATGGTGGGTTCCTAAATGAGGAATTTAGGAACCCACCATATAAAAAAGTAAGGGATCCTCATGTAAATGTAAGGGATGTAAAAAGTAAGGGATCCTCATTAAAATAAGGATCTTTTACTTTGGCCATTTGGAAACCACATTGTATCTCACCATAGCTCCTACCCACTGTATAGTTTCTGCAACTCTCTCATCATCTGCAGACCTCGATATATCTTTTCCTGGTACCTGGGATTTTGCTCTAATTTTTAACACCCCAGGGTTCAGGGAACACACATATGTATTTTGACAATAGGTCTTAGGGTGTGGTCCCTGAATGCTCCAAAATGCACACAGTTTGAGGTTTCTTTCTTTCCTTTTTGAAGTTCAGTTCTGCTTATGTTAAAACATGCCAATACAAATATTAGGAATACAGCCATACCCTAGACAATAACCTACTTAGCCACTGACGACACCTCCACAAATTACCCAACCATAGGACAGTCCTACCTTATTCCAGAGCCTTTATTCCACGAATGAGGACACTGTGATCCAGACAGGTGGATCTCCTTCTTCTGAAGGAGAGCTGCTAACGGTAGTCAAATGCAGCCCAGTTCTGCTGGTGCTGGGTGTTGGTATGGTTTTCTGATGGAGGAGGCAGTCCCTCAGGAGGTGACCAAGACACTTTCCTTTCTCTTGGCAAGTGTGGGTGGCTGGCAGCTGAAGCAGGCCCTGGCAAGGTCCTTCAGTCTGGTTTACTCATCTAAACTCAGCCAGAGTTGAAGTCCAGCCAGGTCCTTGGAGGCCTCTAGATTTCCTGGTAGATTTTGTAATAGAAGATGGTCCTAACAGAAACACAGGACTGAATAAGTATAGATACCTTAGAAAGTAATTTATTTTTAAAAAAATAGCTGGCCATGGTGTCATACACCTGTAGTCCTAGCTACTCAGGAGGCTAGGCGGGAGGATTGCTTCAGCCCAGGAGTTCAAGGTTGCAGTGAGCTGTGATCGCACTGTTACACTCCAGCCTGGGTGACAGAGGGAGACTGTCTCTAGAAAAAGAAAAAAAAGAAAGTCATTTATAGTATATTTTCTTTGGAAAAATACATTCTAAGTTCAAAAAGAATTTTCCAAGCTCAACCAATATATCAATAAACTGGAGACCACTTACAACTCACTCCATTCCATTGAACCAGTATGGATTTTATATTTATATATGTAAGGTGGTACAATAGCTACTTGGTGGATGCCAAAAGGATGGTCCCGTGCTCAAGATATCTGCAATAATCCTGTAGAGATGATACATAGATATATTTAAAACTTAATCATCATATAAGGTAATGTCTGATGAAATGCTCGGATGAGTGAAAGAAAATGGACCACTGGATAATGGAGATAGTCAGACGTGGTTGAACGCTGCGGCTCCTAAGTCAAATGACCTGCGTGAAACTGCAGCTGGTCCACTTTCTAGTCGTGTGGCAGGTTTCTTAAAGTTCTTTAAGGTGTTAAACAGCTCTGGGCATTTTTGGTGCCCCCAAAATGTTAGCCATTATTATTACCTCTCAGTCTGTACTTGAACCAGCACTTCAAGAAGGGTCAGGATGAGAGTAGAGAGGCGCGAGTGGGTTTTGCAGGAGGGTGACAGAATTATAATAAATTATCATCGCGAAAAGCTCCACAAACTGCTTTTCTAACTTTGGGGGCAGCTATCAAGCGTGGGCGGCAGGCGGCCCTTTCGGCCGCCTGAGATCCCAGCACCTGTCCCCAGGGGGCGCTACCGCCCCGCCGCCGCCGCCGCCGCCGCCGCCCTGCCCAGGGCGCGCCTCCGCCGCCCACCCGCGCGTGCGCGCCGCCCAGGTGAGGAGGCGGTGGCCTGGGCCACGGCGGGGGCGGGGGCAGGCTCCTCGGCGAGCCGGGCGGGGCGGAGCCGGGAGGCCCGGGCGGGGCGGGCGGGGCGGGACGGGGCCGGAGGCGGGACTAGCCGCCGCCGTCTCCGTCTCGGTGTCCCGGCTCCTACAGCGCCCGGCAGCCGCGGCGGGAGGAGCGGAAACTGCCGGGTGCGTCCCGTCCGGAGCCTCGCCGGCTGAGAAGGCGCCGAGGAGCAGCGGGGCGGCCTCCGTCCCACCCGGACCCGCCAAGCGGCGCGCTCCCCCTATCCCCTCAGCCTCGCGGCGCAGCCTCGCCCCGGCCCCTCCCGAGCTCATCGCGGGCCCCCTGAACCGCTCCGGCGGCCCGAGCGCGCCCACCTGAGCCCCAGCGCCGGCGCCATGGCGGAGCAGGAGAGCCTGGAGTTCGGCAAGGCGGACTTCGTGCTGATGGACACCGTCTCCATGCCCGAGTTCATGGCTAACCTCAGGCTCAGGTGAGGGCAGAGCGGCCGCGCGCAGGAGCGAGAGGCTGCGCTTTCCCAAGAGGGGGCGCCTCGGGGCGCGGCCGGATCCGGGGTGTCAGGGCGCCGGAGCTCCGGAGATGGGGCGCGGCGGGGCTGTGGTGTCCGGGGGTCCGCCGAGCTCTGCGGCTGCGCTTTCCTGAGCGCGGACGCCGCTGGGGTGCGGCCGCTTTGGGGTGCGGGGGGGGCGTGCGGAGCTCGAGGGCCGCGCTTCCTTGAGAGGGGAGCCCTGGGCGCTGTCCGGGGTATGGGTGCAGGGGTGTGCCGCGCGGGAGGGCGCGCTTCCCAGCGCCAGGTGAGGGAGGTGAGCGGGCTGGTGACCTCATGGAAACTGAAGGGAAATAACTTGAGGGAGAGTTGCGGTGGCCCTGAAGGCCCTAGGAGGACTAGAGGGTTATTTTGGAGAGAGGCTGGCGTCTCATCCCGACTTTACACTTGCTGCTCTGCTTTCTTTCCTCGTCCTTCTTTTTTTTCTCTCCTGGCGTAGTTCCATCCTGTCATTCAGGATGCTATGGAGTGATCCCTGAGCTGTCTGTTCCAGGACACTGGCTATTTTTTTAGTTACTCTCTAAACGTAATTAGACACGTTTCCAGACATCGAAGAGACTGCTGTACTTGCCAGTGCCAAGATAAACTGTCTGAATTTGACAAGGCGTTCATGGTTTTGGTTTTTTTCAAGGAGTTATGGATGGAGCCCTTGTGTTACTGATATCCTTGAGAGTGCAGTCACAACTCAACGCCCCAAAATGGGCTTCCAAGACGTGGATTTGTTTTAGAAAGCCCCTTACATGCAGTTATTTCACCCTTGATAGAGTAATATGTAAACAGTTTTAAAGTAGTTTGACTTAAACATTAGAGTAAGTGGAGTTTCAAAATAGCGGAGTGAGAGAAAGAGAGTGTTTCCTTGCAAGCTTTGGCTTCATTTCTTCTAAGGTTTATAACTAAACATCACTCCTTAAACTTACAAAGTGAAAATCATAATCTAGGCTTGGGTGCTTAATCCCACTTGCAGTATTAACTACCCTTGTCAGCAGGGGTCAATCAGATTTTGTTACATACCAGCATAATGATAGGATGTTACATTTCTGATCAAGGTTTGGATGCACCACTTTTATAGAAATCATCTCAAATATTAATCAAGATGACATACCTCTGTATCAGCTATAATCAATACCCACTGTCAAAGTGATTAAGAGTCAGACTGTTGAGATTCAAATTCTAGTTCTACTACATTCTTGTTGTGATCTTTGAGCAAGTTACTTAGCCTCTCTGTGCCTCAGTCTTCTTGTCTGTAGGATTGGGGTTGTCCTGAGGGTTAAGCGAATTGTTAATAATATGTGTATGTAACTTTAAAGATTAGTGCCTGGCAAATCCATATTAGCAAAACGGTTTAAATTTTCCCAAGTGCACATAAAGCAGATAAAGGGGTAAATTAATACAGCAATTTCATAGATTAAGGTTTTAAGAGATTCTACTGCCCCCAGGAAATAAGTTATGTACTTTGAGAAATGGCTTTATAATTTTGTCACTCTCAGCTTATAATGATTTCAGTTTTTCAGACATTGGTACATTTATTATGCACATACTGTATACAAGACACTGTAGTAATAATTGAATATGGAGCCATTCATTTTAACCTCCATCACCTCCAGCAAATCCGTGACCTTAGCCAGAGCTTTTGCAGAATTTTGAGAATTTGAAATTGAAGGCATAGACTCTAACTGGGCTGCATTAGTTTGTAGGACTACTCCTCTTCTTAGGTTTAACTCATGTGGTTTTTAAGAAAAAGTAAGTTGAGGGAGGGAACTTAGAATTTCTGCTTTTTTAAAAAGCATTAAATCTCTAAGTGTGAGGTTTGAATTTCAAGATTGATTACTAAGGTGAGCCTAACAACTCTTATGTGTACCGAAGAGAATACTGCAATTTATTTATTTATTTTTATTTTTTAGAGATGGAGTCTTGCTATGTTGACCAGGCTGATCTTGAACTCCTGGCCTCAAGCAATCCTCCCATCTCAGCCTCTCAAAGCACTAGATTTATAGGCATGAGCCACCATGCCCAACCGAATGCTGCTATTTAATTCTGTGTGCAAGGTACTCTAGGAGATAAGGTAGGAAGATCCAAAGAACTACAAGATGTGCTGCTTACCTCTCAAAGGGATGACATCTCAATGAAGACATGGAGAAAGGTGGAGTTTTTTTATTGATTTAAAGACTAGTTCAAGGAAACATCAGGAGGCTGAGACAGGAGGATTGCTCGAGCTCAGGAGTTCAAAGCTGCTGTGAGTTATGATCACACCACTTTACTCCAGCCTGTATAATAGAACAAGACCCTGTCCCTTAGCAGAAAAAGAAGAAAGGAAAGAGAGAGAAAGAAACAGAGACAGAGAGAGAGGAAGGCAGGCAGGCAAGAAAGAAAGAAAAAGGAAGAGAAAGAAAGGGAAGGAGAGAAAGAAAAAGGAAAGGAAGGGGAGGGGAGAAAAAGAAAGGAAGGAAGGAGGGAGGGAGGGAGGGGAGGGAAGGAAGGAAAAGAGAGAGAAAGAAAAGAAAAGAAACGAGATAAGCCTTATAAAGCTTAGGTGATTATTTCTACAAGTAATTGTAGAAATTGTTCTGGAAGTTCGGAAGAGAGAGATTCCTTAGGTTGATTCCAAAACACCTTATAGAGGAAGAGAGGAGTTGAGCTGAGTTCCAAAGGATGGATAGGATTTGTAAAGGTGGACACGTGGCTGGAGAGCATTCCAGGTGGATTAAGCAGCTTGAGCAGGGGTTAGTGGTGTGAAAGCTGACTCTGGGTGACAGTGGGTAAGTTAAGTTGTTTGGAGGGGAAGGGGTTGGTGTTGTGGAGATGTGGAGGAATCATCAGCTGTCTGCATGACCACTGTCTAATGCCCAGGCTTTTAGGTCTACCTTTACACTCAATCTCCACATTATTCAAGATCCTGGATGTACAGATGTATATGTATTTGTATGTGTCTCATCTATGTGTTCTTGATGACTCTGAGAATTGGCTGTGGTTTTCATTGTACAGATCAGTGATTGTGCATGACTTACTTACTTAGAGTAGTTGGTTCCCTGTAACCATAAACACAGTGCCAGCAAAGAGTAGCACTCTTACCCTCCTTTCAAGTTGTAAATTCTGACTCAGACAGAAAGCAGTCCTCTCTTTGCTTTCACTTTGCAGAAGGTGACCAGAAATCTACCACTGCATAATCCAGATGGTATTATGTAGTGTTGAAGTGTTTTTGTCTCCTGGAATATTGGTGGTTGGGCACATATTTCTGATTGTACATAGCTGAAATTGAGCGTGTTTGGTCCATTGGTAGATATGGATATATGAGTGAAATTTCCATGTGTGCTTCTACCTCTCATGACTCCTGCCCTTCCAAGCTGCAGTTTCTGCTCTTACTCCCCAGTATGGAATGTCCTGTCCTCTGCTTCCCACCCAGCTCTTCCGCAAGGCCTACTTCCTTCCTTTAAGGTGTGTAATAGACAGTCAAGTACTCAAGGCTGCAGGTGCTCCATGGGTCTGTGTTTTCTCAACAGCAGCACCTAGCATACTGCTGGGTACATAGTACATTCCTTGGTGACAACATTTTTTCACAGAGAGGAAAAAAATGTTTCCGTTACTTTTTTTTTTTTTTTTTAAGCTTATGTGGCAGTATCCTTTTAGAACGATCTTCATGTTTTGCTATTAATCTGGCCTTCTTTTTCCCTCTTGGAGCTAAAGCTTGATTTTTAGGCAACTACCACAATTGACAAAACTTTCTCCTACCATCATTACTTTTAAAAATGGACATAGATGTATGTCTGGATGGGGCAAGAGTAAGAGTGATGTGGATTAGTGCAAGTTAGTATATCTGAGAAGAAGCTCCAGTTTATATTTCTTGCTTTAGAACAAAACCTGCTTGTATTGTGAGAGCTGCCTTCTTTCCCTCCAAGAAGTCTCTTGTTGGGGGATATTTCTTTTGCATTTTGGTAGATGTAGAGGTGGAGGGGGAGGTAGTTCCTCATTCCAATTTCCATGGATCTCCGCCCAGGAGTAACACTCCTGTATGAGTCCTGCCTGCCTACATGGTCAGGAGCAGTTCCTGCCAACAACCCTAATGACCACTGAAGCCCTAACCACAGCAACCCTGTCTTACCATGTTCTGCTTTCTTTGTAGCCACTTCCTTTTTGGATATGGAGCTCATTGGTTCCTTTGCTCCTTGCTTGGGCCATTCCTATACACGAGTTTTTCCAGCATTAACATCAGCTTTGTACCCTCTCTCTGAGAGTCCTGCCAGGGCAAGCTGCTTACATCTGCTCCTCATGTGTTCCTCCCTCCTCACACTCCTCGCTCTCAGCCATGCGCATGGAAGGAAGAATGCAGGCTACTGCTCAGAAGTGGACTTGAGCCTAGGACAGTGTCCTTGACAGAAATGCTTTCCTTTTCATAGGACAATGAAACATGTCAGCCTTCCAGAGGTCCAGTTTCTTAACTTTATTTGTTATTGCTTCCTGTTTTGAGAGTAAAGCGTGTATTCAGCCTTATATCTTGGCTTCTCAGAAATTTAAGTGTTCCCCGTCTCTTTTCTTACTGGGTTTTGTCTTCTGTAAAAGCCATCATCTGAAGCACCATGTGTGCCAAAGCTCCATGCACCTCCTCATTTTTAACCTAACACAGCATGTCTTTTGCACCTTTGCTTAGACCTGTGTTTTTCAACTGTGGCACTATTGACATTTTAGACTGGATAATGCCTTGTTGTAAGGGCTGTCCTGTGTGTTGTAGGATGTTTAGCAGCATCTCTGGCTTCTACTCACTAGATGTCAACAACTCCACTCCTTTTTCATTTATGACAACCAAAAGTGTCTCCAGACATTGCCACAAGTCCTTGGGGAGGGGGGAGTGTGTGGGTAGGTGTGTTTGTACATACACACATGCAGTATTGCCCCTAGCTGGGAGCCACTGGCCATTGCTGTTTTCATTCCCTCGAATGTTCTTTCCTCATC